AAACTCTAATATAAAAAAAAATATAAAAACACAAATATAAAACCAGAGCAAAACCACCAGTTCATTTTATAGTATCTCATAGTGGCTGATTTTAAAGTTTTCATCATAAAATGATCTAGAAAAGGTGTAAAATTTACTTGAACACCTCTATAATGTGGCCTCCAGTCTCAGAGAAAATCTACACCCACACTACAAACTATTTAGTTATCAGTGTACAGCATGTCCTTCGCAGTAGGTAATCATGCATCAACATACTTGGAATTTCTGGGGTACTACAGACGACAAACAAAGTCTCCCTTTTCCTTGTTTTTTTTTTGAGTTTCAGAGCTTCAAGAAGCTGCTTCACCACAGCAGCTCCTCCTATCCATGCATACGCCACTTTTTCCACTGCAAACACCTAACCAACTGATAAATCATGTGTAGTAATAATTTGGTACACTGAAACTTTCTGAGAGCTGCAATTGTCCAAAATCTCATCTACTAGAAGTTGTGTTTCCAAAGCGAGCATTAATGACAGCATTTAAAGGACTTACCAAAGGGTGGCCAATCACACCAGGTAACATTATTGGTTATATTAATGTCTTTTGGCTGAATGACGTTGGAGCAGTTTCTGTGCAGTTCACTCTGAGTGCGAGAGAAGAACGTGGAAAGAAACCAATTGAAATGACTAAAACAGTAGTTGACACAAGCAAATGAAGAACCAAAGATTTAAAAAAATTATCTTCTATAGGTGTATAAATGTATAAAGATACAGTATAAGAATATGCCAGGATACCACTATTACCACAAACAACACACTGCAGCTCTCAGGGTGACAGGATCACAGCCTATGATTGTTTTATGACCACTTCATGAATACTTTGTAATTTAAACAATGAGGGGCTTTTACAGCATTTGACTTTAAAAGCCTTCATTTGCAGACCATTGCTGTATCATGCAAACACTTTCAATTGTTGCTTGACTATCTTTGATTGAAACAACAAGAAAAATCCCTTTAGCATATTCAGCAGACGTCCTTTAGAGCCGTTTGCTTTTCTACCAGCTTTTGTGCTTCAGCTGTTAATTTCTATGAATTTGTAAAGACACGAATACCTTTAATTGTGGCTGTGTCTGAGTTATATGTAGATAAAATTATTTTCTTAAAAGAGCGTATCTTCTGTTGTCTCCCTGATCTTGTGACAAGCTAAAGATTGAATGTTAGAAATTAGATTTAATCAATATATCTGTAAGGAGATAACAAATGAGCAGTGTTAAGGTAAAGATTTTGTCCATTTTTGAGGGTAAAAAGTACAAGACAAGAAAGACATGTTCTGTCCTTCTAGAGAGCATTTGATCCTGCAAAAACACTGTTAATAGTGTTCATAAAAAGAAATTCAACTGTTCCAGTCACCTTAACAATGCTGATAGGTTTCCGTGACAAGTGATAGGCTGTGTAGAACAGGAAGGTGAGGATGAGAATAAAACCACGATACCTGCAAAAACAGACACATTAGAACCAAAATCATTTAAAAATGACAATCAAATTATCTTTATTATTCAAAATATCAAAACAGAATAATAAAAATAAACCTACAAAGAGAATAACTAAGGTATGCTTATTAATCATGCAGTGACATCAATTAAAATGCCTCCAGCACAAACACATGACACAAAACAGTAAAACTTTCCACTGACATAGAAATATTTGTTTGGGTAACAAACTCACAGATCAGCTGTTTTCATGCTGGCTAAACAACACAAGTTAATAGGTGGAAAAAGTATTCTCAGTGCTCACATTATACTTGGAGTGTAAGGTGTTAATTTGAGATGCAAGAGTGTTAAATAATTCAAAAGCCTACTTTTATTTGGTTTATGACCCTTGAAAGTTTATCTGTCTGTTTATCTTTTCAAAAGGAACGTGAACCTAAAGTTCTTTTAGTCCAGTGATTTCACCTAAATTGTTTGGAATTTGAGAGATACAGTACGAAGGTGTGTTTAAAGAATTAGGAATCAGGACAAACACAAATAAGACGCACATTTGTCTGAATTGATAAATAATGGTGAAGACTGTGCATACAAAAATGCTTGCAAAAGGTGGTAAACAAACATAAACACTAACTATCATCATCATTGTTTATGAAACATTCGGTTTTGTCTTATTATCATCATTTGATTATTTAGTTTGATCTTTGTTTTTGGAGAAATTTATACTATGCTGTACATTCAGGTCATTGAATGGTTTTCATATTCCGGCGTTATTATCATGGCAAACCATTCCAAGAGTGTTCCAAGCAGATATGGCGGGAGGAGTTAAGGGCACATCCTTTGTTAATAAAAAACTGTGTGTGAGACAAACATTTTGTTTGTCCAGCACAATGTGGGTCAATAATTCAATCATTTGCTTTAATTATTTCAATGTGACCTTCTCAAAGTATATGAAACTGAAATAAAGGGAAACTGAAGTTGAGTCACATGATACTCTTCCTACTCTCGTGTACTCTCCTTTCCTCAAACATTTTAAGAATTTAAAGATGCTTTTTTCCCAGTTGCTGGCTTTTCTTTTGGTGGGGATCCATCTATCAGACTGGTCCGACTCATTCTGAGCTACACAATCCTCATGAGACTCACCGATGAAAACTCTCTTCAAGATTCACCCAGTTAGTTTCAGCCTAAGTTGTCTTAAGAAAAATTTGTATTTTCTATATTCAGTCAGATTTAGAAAAGCAGGAAATATAATGGAATGGCTCTTTACTGACACTTTATTTGCTGATAAATCTGGAGGTATAAATCCCTTTCGACAGTTTTCGGTTATTGCAAAATAACCCAGTGGTCGACACTGGAAACTGTGGCCGGCCACCTCTTAAAATGTCAATTTTTTTAATGGAGTTTGGTGGGATTCTAGATTCGCACAGGGGAAACCAGACGTGCCGGGTACAGAAAACAAGAAGTAGTAATACATTTATAACAGGAACTGAGACATTTAAAACAATAGCTGGTTACATGATAATGTCTCTGGATTTACTGGTCCCAGAACAGTTCACATTCTGACGGTTTATCGACTAGTTTGAGTCAATCATCTAACAGAGATATCAATCATTTAGCAGAGATAAGAAGCAGCAATCTCCATTACAGGGCTGCGTGTGCGCCAAGAGGACAAAAAGAATGGAAACTTACCAACTATCCCGAGAAAAGTTGGTGATAAGTCTTATCCCAGGAGCCAGAGACGACTTCATTTTCATTTGATTATTTTAAATATTGTGAGAAAACAGACTCTCAGCAGTGGGTCCCGGACATGTCTTCTTGGAAGCAGACGGATGTTGAGCAGGTACAGATGAATAAACGCAGAGAGAGGCAGTACTTGTGCAGTACCGCAAAATAAAAACAGACCTGTGCGCCTGCTAAAATAGAGGCTCACATGGGGTAGCTACGGGAGCTGTAAAGCAGCTCCTGTTGGGAGGTACCCGCAGTGAATCTCCAGCAATGCTCCATAATGACCGGCTTTTATACTTCAAGTACGCAGTCAGAAGAGCCGGCCTGCCTCTTAAACGCTGTGATACAAGTGTAAGACACCGCTGCTATTAATACTCCAATGTTGGTTTGGTTTTCCATAAGATTTTCCAGCCTCCCGGCGACAGCCTGTCCACCAGCCCCTATGCATGCGCATATGCGTGACGTAACGCAGGCGATTCAAAGAACCTTGTTTTGTCTAAACGGGGTTGGACAGTGGGTGGGACTGCTCAAAGTGGAGGTATTTCAATTTAAGTTAAAATGCAACAGAATTAAAAGTATCTGAAAAGCACGTGTTAGGCTCTTTAAAATGTTACACTTCAGATCAAAGTCCTTCTGACCACCTGGGTGCTCTGCAGGTATCCCCTCTGGGTACATGCCAGTGCAGTTATTTTAAAGAAATAGCCTTGATTAAAGCCTTTATTATTAAATATTTTATTCATTGTATTATTAGTTTTTTTTATTAATTTAAATTAGTTTAAAGTTGGACATTAAAAACTAAAAGTATTGATCAAATTATTTAAAAAGAGGCGTAAAATATTCAAGTTTCGCTTCTTATTCCAATCGGTTCACAAGATGAAAATCAGTCCTGATTTTCATCTTGTAATTTAATCGTCAGCAAACAGTTAATGAGTAAATCAGTAAACTATGATATGCAATGTGTTGCCCAGCTCAGCATCTCCTCATTTAAATCTAAAATGTACATTCATTTAATTATTTGCACCTTGCATCTGGAACCCCGGGCGAGCAGAGGGAAATGGTTACAAAAAAATTGCCGTGGTCCTCTGAATCTGATGACACAGACCGAGCGCTGGTATATTCTTCCCTGGACGTTCAGCGTTCGTGTCGCATACTAATTACGTCGCGGGACGCTCGGACGCGTTGCTATGACAACTACCCAACACATTGGAAGTTACTCCATTGTAATAAGGAAAATCAGTCCAGTCGTGGCGAAGGTGATCCGAGTCCGTACTAATGAAAAACATGTTAAAGCCTAACGGGACCTTATGGGCAACACTTTTCCAATCTTCTATCGATCATTTTTGGTTTGCCTGTTTTGTTGTAATTTCCTGAGATTGTGAGAGCATATCCTAGCAGATCAGCAGTTTCTAAAATATAAAGTTCAGCCAGTCAGGCATCAGCAACCATGCCATGTTAAGTCACTTAAATCACCTTTCTTCCCCATTCTGGTCCTTAATTTGAACTTAAGCAGGTTGTTCTGACCATGTCTACAAGCCCAAATACATTGAGCTGCTGCCATGTGATTGGAAAATTAAAGGATGTAACAAGCAACTGAATGGGTGACCTAACAAAAGGGCCAGTGAGTCTGATTTTTTGCCAGTGAATGAGCTACACAACTATGTAACTACAATGTAACAAAAATAACTGGAGCTGATGTTAAAAATAATAAAAGTGTAAATAACTATCACCATTTTAAAACATATAAATGTGCATCAGTCACAAAATCATAAAAAGGAATACAATTTTTAAAAGCAGACCACAGCATTTCACAATTTGTATTTACCACAGAAAGTGACATTTATTTAAAAAAACAAACATAACAGAAGTGTTATTTGTTAAATGGAGTGCTAAAACAGGTCAACATGACTCTTGACCCACACAACAAACAGCAAATCCTCACAAGGACATTTTCAAGTTTAGTTGCTTTCTCAGCACATTAACTACCGCCATTAAAACCACATACACAGAGTAAGACACTGCACAAATTCCTTCATTACCAATAAATAAATCAAAGCAAATTTCTGTCAGCTTTAATAAGCAATAATTAAACAAAGGAAAAGAGTTCAAAAGGAAATTTTATACTCCATGTCATTCTTCACAACCAGCAGAATAAATATAGGAATCTGACTGTTCAGTGAAAACATGATCAGTTTTCCAAGTATTAAAATCAAAGATCTGGGGAAAGTGAAGATGATCCGATAATAACGCAACAGGCAAAGACAGGAGTCAAAGGCAAAGAGAAACATCATGTTTGTTATTGCTCATTTAGAAAACAATCTGTGCACCAAATCATCTTTAAAACATTGAGATATTTCAGAGTAAAAGCATCATTCTGGATTCCCTCCTTAGAGCTACGTGAAACGTATGATTTTATTTCTGGAAGACAACAATAAACTGAAACATATAAATCTCTTCTATTGTGGAGGCTCAACATGTCCTGGACTCCTCAGTGCTAAGCGAGAGCACTGATCTGAACGTAGGCTAGAAAATGTACACAAGATTTTCCAAAATCTGAGACCGGACCTTCAGGCAGACATCAGCTTCCTTTTACTGCAAATCCAAACTCGCCAATGCTGAATGTAGGGCCTGGGCATACACTGCAGAACAAAAAAATGTTTTCATGTAGTTGGATTGAAGCTCAGTAAGCAAGCAGATGGTTGCGTGTGAATTCCTCACCTTTGGGATTATTGTAGAAAACACAGTTGTTAGCGCAGGTGTCGGGGTGGGAGTCCCAGAACGAGGACGCACAGCAGCAGAGAGGAGGGAGCTCCAGTTTCACCTGAGACATTCGCTCCTTCATTTGAGCTCTCAGAGCTTCAATGAACCTGCAGAAATAATAAGGAGATGTTCAGCTTCACAAAGCCATGCATACATTTTTTTTAAACAGTGGTTTGTGAGGGTCACACTTACAAACAGGGGGTATCACTTTTCCCATTTGTGTAACTGGGACTTAAAATGTGATCAATTTTATTATATATTTATTACTGAAGTCACAGCTACAGTCAAGCTCATTTTATTTCTAACAACACAAAACAATTAGAAAGTAAAATTTAACTCTTCAGCCCATAGAGATGACTTCACATTCTCCCCTTCACTGTTGTGGGCCTGATCTCCGACAACATCGAGACGGCCTACCTGGAGGAGATTAGGAACCTGGAGACCTGGTGCCAGGAGAATAGCCTCCTCCTAAACATCAGCAAAACTAAGGAGCTGATCGTGGACTTCACTACAAAGCAGGCGAGGAATTACAAACCCCTCATCATCAGTGGCACGCCAGTGGAGAGAGCGGACAGTTTCCGATACCTGGGTGTCCACATCACTCAGGACCTGTCATGGTCCTGTCACATCAACACCCTCGTTAAGAAAGCCCGTCAGCGTCTCTTCTTCCTCAGAAGACTTACAGACTTCCATCTGCCACTGAAGGTGCTCAAGAACTTCTACTCCTGCACCATCGAGAGCGTCCTGACGGCAAACATCTGCACCTGGTTTGGGAACAGCACCAAGCAGGACAGACGAGATCTGCAAAGGGTGGTGTGCTCGGCAGAACGCATCATTCAATCAGAGCTCCCTGACCTGCTGTCCATCTACACCAAGCGGTGCAAGGCCAAAGCTAGGAAGATTATGATGGACCTCTCCCATCCCAACAATGGACTCTTCTCACTGTTGAGGTCTGGGAAGCGCTTCCGCTCCCTTAAGGCCAAAACAGAGAGAATGAGGAGGAGCTTCTTCCCCCAGGCTATTCGGGGCCTGAACCAGGTGTAGGACTGGACTCTCCCAAACACGTCACTATAAGACTGGACTCTCACACACGTCACCACACGCACCACCACACATTTCCTATAATCCTATAATTCCTATAATTTATAATCCTTATCTTTATAATCTCTTCTGCTATTTGCACATTCTTTACTGTAAATTCCTAAGTTAATTTGTACATTTTTTGTAGTAAACTGTAAATTGTAAATATTGTAAAACTTTTCTTGTCATTTAATGGTCGGGCATTGTACAGCTACAAGCATTTCACCCCCATGTCATACTGTGTATGGTTGTGTGTGTGTGACAAATAAAATTTGAATTTGAATTCCCCTACTAATCACTTGTCAATATACAAAAATGTCTTGATTGATTATACACCACATCTCACTGGACCTGGAAATGGACCAGACTCTAGCCAGGAAGAGGCAGAAAACATTGATTGGGAGAAATATTATGCGACTCCAGATGAGTGGCAGAAAATGAAAATTAACCCTACAGACCCACATATGCCCCGTCTCTCAAATAGGTTTGCAGCAGGTTTACATCTGTTATCCTATTGGAGGCAACAAAAGCCTTCAAAATCTAGCCTTAAATAAAAATCAAGTAGCACTCTCCAATGACTGCAAACAGACTTCCACATTTAAACATCAGTGGATTTTCCTGTTTTAATTGCATTAGGTATATTCAGTTGAGTCTCTCTTGCTTAATTACCTAGCAGCTACTTTGCCTTTCTCCTCTCTTTTCCTCCTCTGTAACTCCACAGCTCTCTCCTCCTCCTCAAGCTTTAGTCGCTCCAGAATCAGCAGCTCCCTCTCCTCCAGCTTCTGCTTGGCCTCTGCGAGCTGTTGAACTCTCTCCAGCCTCCTCTCCTCCTCCAGACGCATCTGTTCTTTCTCTGCTTTGATCCTTCAGTGAAGACAAGAACACACGAAAGGAGATTTTCACTGACAATAACATGTAATCTAAGTTTAAAGGAGGTTTTTTTTTAAATGACTTTGGATATCTATTGTATTCCAAGCAAGCTCACTGTTCAGCTAAGAAAACAAATGTTTTTATTTCCTCTACTGTGAAAATGTGTCATGTTAGAGAGATCTGCAGTTTGACACTTTATAGAGAGATCTCAGGATTTAGATTCACTTTAATGGAACACCCCAAACCACAAGAGGAAGCGATACAGCATGGTACGCCTGTCCTCTCTTCACCTTGCTGTCTGTTTCAGGTGCTTCCTGTGCTGCTTGTTCTCCTTCACTTGCTCTCTCTCGATGTTCATGGCCAGGCGGCGGTGCATCAGGAACTGAGACTTGCGCTGCAGAGACAAACACGCTGTCTGTGACGTCTGACATCAAACCAGTAAAGCCAAAGGTTTGTGCATGCTTCTGATTCCTACCTGTCTTTTCAGTTCTTCTTGGTCAGTCAGAGGCCAGATTCTGAAGCTGGATGTGAATCCCGAATCAGGTTGTGATTGTTCAGGATTCCACAGTGGACGTTCACTTCCCTGAAAAGCATACAAATAAAATAAAGACGAGTGAAGACTGATCTACTGACCCTCAGCCAAAGTAATGTATGTATGAAGGTGTTAAAAGCACATTATTATCAAAAAGTTGACATTTAAACAAACATTTCTTTTAATAAAAATAAAAATGTATTCCTCCAAAATATCAGTTTATAAGCATAAATAGATATTCAAATATTAAAAAAATGACTTTATTTTATTGGTTAATGTTGACACATCCTATAAGAACTCATTTTAATAAGAGTTTCCTGCACATTCAATCTCTGATTTATCCTATTCTCTGCTACAGAGCTACTTTGTTATATTTCCCTTTATTAATTAGATACTGTAGTTTGTACAGTATTTATTGGATAATACTTCCCTTAAAAGCCAGGTTAGATTCCTTGACCAATCAAAAAGTAGTGCCTTATTACTTAATGCTATAACTTAGCATTAAGTAATAATGCTATTAATTAATAATAAGTAATAATTACTTAATGAATAACATCTGTAAAGAAAAACGCCTCCAAAAAAGCAAAACTGTGCCAATCATAACATAAAAAAAGAAAAAGACACAAGCATAATATACAAAAAAGCCTTTGAAGAACAAGCCTGAGATATTTGTAACCATTAGAGGTTACAGCTTTAAGAGACCTGACTCTATCTGAAAGATAGAGTCAAAAACATAGAGAGCAGCAACTTATTGACACCTAAATGTCTCTCAAGGAGGGGCTCAAAAATGTGGTGTTTGCCACCACATTTTCTCCTTTATCTTAACAGTTACAAAGAAGTATCAGTAAATATTGGCATATTTTATCTGGTGACCCTTCCACAGGTCATTTGTTCAATAATAAATCAATTTGTGCTAAAAACCTGAGAGAAATACTAGTCAGGGCTCATTGCCATAATTATTTATCCTTCTGCTTTTCTGCTGTACCAGGAGATAATCCCCCCATGTCTAAACTGGGAAGCTATGATGTAAGCGGATACCTTTTGTGCACAGATATTTGATATTGAATATATGTTTTTGTCATTTAGCTGCAGAATATTTATGGATTTTTTCAACATCTGTTAACTTTAGTGTTAACTTTCTGCCTACATATATTATATTTATATTTTTACACATTTATTTTTCCTATGTCTAGTGATTTTAACATCATAGATTATGTGTGTATATTGATATTGTCTTCACGCTATTTTTAAAAAAAAACTGTATTTTTGTATGTTGTGCTGGTTTTATTTTATAATTAGAGTTCTGGTTTCTGAATGTTACAGGAATCTAACCTGACTTATTGTGACTGTTGTCTGTATTAGGCTACCCTGATTATGACTTATTGCTGAAATATTTCTGCAATTAATAAATAAAGAAATAAATAAATATAAAGAACTTTCTACTTTTTTGCTGGCATCTTATCCCTTTTCTATTGGCCAATATTTATCTCCATTCATCCCATTAATCCCATTGATCCCATTAGTGCCCCCTGCAAACCTGAAAAGGATAAGTGGAGGCGAATGGATGGATGGATCAACAGTAGTAACTAAAAGCATTACAAGGTAGTGTAGTGCACAGAAAATGTATTACATTGATATGCATAACTCCATATGTACAGGCTGCAGCTGGTAAAGATTGAAGTTATGCCACAGTTAAGGTGCATGCAAAGTGAGAAACATTTAAAACAAGTGACAATTTTAATAACACTCTAGTTTTTTTTTCCACAGGTTTACTCATCCAGCACACTCACAATCTCGAAACACTGTTTTTTTAAGATACACACAACCCTGAGGCTAAACTCATATCTGTGTGGTTAGCTGACAGCTCACTCAATTTCCTGTGAAAACAAGTCAACACAAAAACAAAAGCAAAAATCTGTACAGACAGAGGAAGCCTGACATAAGCCTTACTTTATGTTACTGTCCTTATAATGATTCACAAGATGTGAGAGGGAACTGGACATTATATTTATATATTTTTTTTCCATTAACCTCACACACATCCACGTCATTATCATGATGATGATGATGTTGATGTGGTAAAATTAAACATTACAGCCTGTAATGAAATAATGAAACCTGACCTGGTTTCAGGCTTATAATTCTGCTCTTTGAGGCGTTATATCATGCTCATAAACTTTGAACTATACGTGTTTTTGGCAAGAGTGAAACAGAGGCTCACTCTTAAATCTTTAGCCCTTGAAGCTCTTTGTTGAACTGAGTGCTTTCAGACCTGCTTATGGAACAGAATAACTGGATGTTGGTGAGGGTGGACTCTGCCAGTGCAGAAACCCAGGAACTTTTCTAATGGCCGTCAAACCACGTCTTTATCGGCATACACCAAAGTATCAAAACTCATCATTAAAGGTACAGCAGAGGTAATCAAATCTAATCTTTGTGGGTTGAAAGAGTTGAGTTTATCATCATGCTCTAGCCATCCCATGTAGGCAAAATAATTCTTAAGAATCCACATTGGACTTTAACATTAAGGGCAACGATTTACACTCAATAAACACTATGTAAGGCATTTAAAAATGCAGCAATAGAGAAGAGGAGAAAAGCCTACTACTCTTCCTAGCACTGAGCTTTCAGCCTGACATCCACCAACAGTTAAAGCATCAGATTTCCTGTTTACCATCACATCGCAAAAAGCCAAGTTCTGACCTTTGCTGTAATCGGTAAACTGCCTGATCATCAAACTTACTATCTACATCTTGCTGTTTTTAGCCTGTTTACATATGGTGTAGCTACCATGTAGCCACCTATTAATTCAACTTCCCATTTCTGAGTGGCTTGTCCAGCTCCCTGCCCTAAATATACCCAGCTTTATCTTCATTTTTGAGTGACTGAGGAGGAAGCATAGGGTCATTTTCCATAGACTTGTTTCTTTTTACAACCAGGAGTCACCCCCTGCTGACTATTAGAAAGAATGGAGTATTAGGGTACTTCCATGCAGGCTTCACTTTTAAGATCCAGAGGTTTTACATCCATCTTTTAAATACTATATGACATGAAAGTGAAGATAATTTTTAATGGAGGTGTACAGCAAGTTCCAAATTCACTGAATTTCAATGTTGGTTTTTGACTAAAAAAGCATCTTACAGTGCAAATGCTCCAAATAATTTAATCGTATCTGTAACTATGTGGTGGCCGAGTTGGTCGGTAAATGTGTGGATATAATGAATTTCACGTTAAGAAAAACCATTAAAAACTGAAAGGAATAAACATGGGACACAGTTTGAATATTCAGTCACCTTCTGTTGAACAAGTGGACATTCATGTCGACTGGTGAAGACAACATCATCTTCCTCTCCTAGAGCATCCTCCTCTGCTCCCAGAGCATGAGATTCTGCTTTCTGTGAGGTGAAGGGGGAAATGTTTAATTATAACCCGAATATGGAATTATGGGTTTGAAAAGAGGAACAAGCATGAGACACAGGCGCTCACATGTCTCGTTTGAGAGATGTTCCAGCTGCCTCCAGGAAGTTCTGACGTTGTTTCCTCTTGCTGCATCACCTGACAGGCAGCCAGTCTGAGTCTGACCTGCCTCATGCCTTCAGCAGACTGGAAAATTGTGGAAATAAATACAAATCCAGATTAATCAGTGTCACATTGTGTGAAGTCACACAAGGAACAGTGGAATCCTTCTGCAATCCAAGAACAGCACACTTTACACACTGCAAAATATAAACAATCCGACACAATAAAAAATAAAGAAAAAGAACATATACAGATAACAAGGTCTCAACAAATACAGTAGATGGACGTTTGAGGCAGATGCTGCAAACTTCAAATAAATGTCTTTTGAATTCAATGATAATACTTTTAAAACATATTTTAAAAACTTTAAATAACTTTAAAGGCTGAATCCTATAAAGAAGATGACTATCAGTTTACAAGTGGGATGAAAACTCGATGCACCCCTGGTGGACAATAAGAAATGCAGACACTCTTTGTAAATATCTACATTACGTTAAATTTCTCAGCCACACCTTACCCACACACACGTCTCTGATCAACATGTCATTAAGGACAAAAAAAATATACAGGCTTAAGAGCTTCTTATAATCAGGAAAGACTTCGGAAAGCAACCTCTGAGGCCTACAAATGGAGCCACAAACTGCACTTCTTCTAAAGGCCATTTGAGGCTTGATGCGAAAGATCGTCAGTCTCAATAGACTCACATGTTATATGAGCACATTTACAGTTTTGGTCTCTATGGATACTTGCCCCCTTTAATGACACCTGTATGGTGGGTGAACATTTTATAATTCATCTGCTTGGATTTTGTTAAGCCTTAAAGTTAGGGTGTCGTCCTGTGACTGACAGGAGGTCCTAAATAGGCAGCCGTGGCCAATCAGTGTCTGCTAGGCCTCAGCTTCACCTATTTGAAGTAACTGAACTGAACTATTTTGCCATTTTTAACATCACTACCATCCTACCCTAAAAAGCAACTAAGCTGAAAGCACATCTAAAACTCACATCTCACTAAAGTTTAGTTCTCTGGAGGGTGCACACATTGTACCTGTAATTATTTACTAATATCTCACCTCCTGAGGTCTCCTCTCCATCACCCTTTGCTGTGCAGCAGTTCTCACTGTCTCACCTTCACGATGGGTCCAGATGACTCGCATGTCAGGTGTCACCTGGACAAAAAATACACCATATGCAACAATACAGGACAAGCAGACAACAACATCAGCAGCAGCAGGAAAGGCAATCAGAGGGCTCAGCTATCCGTGTGTTTAAAATGTGGTTTCACAAAGTTTTCTCAGATATGAGGAGCTGCTTCATCTAAGGGTTTTATGTTACATCAACATAATCAACATGCCATTTAATTAGATATTAAACTTAATAAAACACCTGGAATATATTTGATAAATTTAACAATGACAATGATAGTACATTACAATTTGTTTTACCTTTTCTAAATGATAGTCAAAATAACTCAATAATGTTAGCTATAAATCTGGTTAGCTGCAGTGTTAATTTCAGGTGGGAATCTGGGGTGAAAGGAACATAATTAACCCGTGGCTCAGGGGGTTGAGAATCGCATCTGTAACCGGAAGGTCACCGGTTCGATCCCTGGGCTCTCTGTCCTGGTCGTTGTGTCCTTGGGCAAGACACTTTACCCTACTTGGTGTTGGCCAGAGGGGCCGATGGCGCAATATGGCTTCTGTCAGTCTGCCCCAGGGCAGCTGTGGCTACACCTGTAGCTTGCCTCCACCAGTGTGTGAGAGTGAATGAATAGTGGTATTGTAAAGCGCTTTGGGTGCCTAGAAAAGCGCTATATAAATCCAATCCATTATTATTATTACTTCATTTGTGTCAAGTTTTTTTTTTTTTTTTTTACCACTGGATCTGTCTGCAGCTGCTGTCTCTTCTTGAACAAATGTGCTTTCTGTGCCACACGGTGGCGCACTTCATCCTGAAAACGCTGAAGGCTCTCTTCGTTCTCCCTCCTCTTCTCTGCCTGTAGCTCATCAGTCAGCAAAGCAAGAGTCTAAACCAAGACACAGGAAAACTAGTTTAGAAAACTGTAGTGAAGAAAACCAAGGGTAACTAAGACTTGCACCAGCTAACCTTATATAAAATTTGCATCTAGGGCAAGTCTACTTGCCAGTTAAATGTCCTTCTATTCTTTAATTAATGTAAAATCCCCCTGTGTCTATATTGATATTGATAAGTCTATAATCTTGCACAGTTGGAATTTAAATAGAAATTTTCCAGGTTTTTCTTACCAAATCACAAGTGCACCCATTCATTCATAGTCAGTAGAAGAGAGACAGAATACATGTGTGTTAATGAGAAGGAGACAGGTGTAATAGCGAAAGTGGATGACCACTCACACCAGCAGACAGTGCACATGAGAGGTAAAAAAGAGCGTGCAAGCAGGGTGGAGCAGGTGGAGATGAACATCAGGGTGATTTATGACAGTGAAATGTGAAATGTCTTAGAAACATAATTTTAAAGTGAAGAGTGATTTTAGATTAAGACCACCCAACATTAATAACAGTTATAATAAATGTCTAAATTGCAATGGATTAAACTCCTCCGGTGTGAATATTTGCTTATATATCGATAGTTCTTTAGTATGAAGTAAATTTAAATGGAAAGGAGACGGGAAGGAGAGCTTATGTCAACAAACAGTAACTGTCAGCAGTTAGCTTCTCCACATCCAAACTTACAGCCGGATGCTCCACGAAGTCTTGTCCGCCCTCCACCCAGGCTCCCACCGCCACCACCGCCTGGTTCCTCTCAGCCAGCACTCTGCTGGCTCTGAAGGCTCGGTGTTCCTTCATCCGCCCGACTGGAGCTTTGTTCCTGCCGTTTTTAGGAGCTATAACCCGGTTAGCATTCATTGGTAGCCTGGTAACCAGGCTAACGTTTTAAGCAGGGCTAACCCACAGACAGCAATATTTTTACGCGGGCTTACTACAGACAGACACAGCACATACATCGACTCTATTATGCACGATCTCCACTGTTTAAATGGCAAAAAATAATTTTTTTTTAAAAGCACCTGTTACGAGGACCTGTGAACAATCTAGACCAACTGGTTTGTTTGAGTTTCGCTCACTTCAACTTCTTTGAGCGTTTTGGGGTTCACCGGCGCACTGCTGCCCCCATCTGGCCAGGAGGAAACACTGGCAGGGCTGTCATCCCCACACACTGGGAAATGAAACGACTCCAATCTGTCCATTTCATAAATTATAGTAATAATTTCATAAACAATGATTACATGCATACATATAACTTGAAAATGTGTAAGAAGACTTTATAATAAAGCATTTTGTTGCCTTTGTGACATGTTGCTTTCAGTTTTGTCTTTTTTCTGCACCAAAATGAAACTGTGCTTGCCATAAAATGGAAATATAGGCCCTTCTCAGCTACTGTTGGGCTTATTTTTGCTGTTGCCATAGCATGCACAGCTGACAGGAGATCAGTGGGAATAATGAGACATGCTCGCCCAAAAGGATATGTATAGCACTTAATAACTTCATGTGAGATTAATGCAAGAGATTATAGCTCAGAGGACACATCTATCAAACGTGCTTTTTCAAGGCTCACTAATCTGGGAGTGTTATTAGTTTTGCAGGCACAAAAACTCAGAAGGAACCAAAGGTTGACAGATTTCATCCAAGAATATTTGTACCAAATTTTATATGCATTCAAAAAATACTTATCTGACTCTCTAGAAAAAAAAACCCCAATAAAAATATTTATAAAATTGACTTTATTCAGGAATCAGAGAGGGAGGAAAACGGAGGAAACTTTTGAGCAGTTTACAAATCTGTAGTTTCAAGTAACCTCAGCTGTTTTTATCCCCGATGGAAATGTTTTTACGTGGACTGTCTGTATCACCTTGTGGAACGATTTAGCCTGTAATTCTTAAGAAAATAGTTACAGGCAAGTTAAAAGTTTATATATGTTCTCCATAAAGCTGCAACAGCTTTCTTGGTATGCATCTGCATTTCTTTGGAAACTTTTAGGACCTATTATTTATGGACAGACTGAAGTAAATAATTAAACTTAAAAGATTTCTAATATTTTTTTCCTTAAAATGTCTTTATTTTAAAAAATGACAGCATTTTACGACAGAAAAATAGAATTACAGAGGGTGCAGCACGGACTCAGATGTAAAGATTGCTCTGAAGGTCGGTGGTCCTGACAAACTTGCGCAGGGCATCTGTGCTTGGAGACGGATCGAGCTGAGGAGAAAGAGAAATGCAGGAAATTAAAATGAAAAACAGTTTCGTTTCATTTAAATACAGCTTTTTGTTTTATAAACCCTCATGGATTTGATGACTGATGTTCTCTAAAAACTTGCAAGGGTTTCAAAGTATATAAAAGAGATCTCGGGTATAAATAAAGCGCATTTCCATCGTTACAGTAGGCACTGACAAATTTGCTGAAAAAAAAACAACAAAAAAACAACTCATCTTCTTTGATCTTAGACACCTGACTTGTGAAGTAACCAAAGACAATGTTGCCTGAGTCAGAGCTGGAGCATGAATCACTCTTGGATAATTCATCAGCAAGGGAAGAGCAGCTGCATCGGAAAGGATCGTTGATAATAAGTCAAACATGCAAACCTAAAACTTTCTTGGGAGATTTTAATCTGAGACTCCGAGGGCACTTTTTCGCAAAGTTTTATCAAATCAAAAATCTTAAAGGTTGAAGGAGAAAAATTATAACACAAGCTGCTGCTGGAATCCCTGCTTCTGGGTTTGGTTTCATTTGGGAACCATATTTCAGATAAATTCAACAGTGAAGCACTTTCATTTGGCTTCCACTCTGATTCTGCCTCTCCTGCACTGCAACAAGCCGTCAAGGCTCATGGGTGTTGTATGGATTAGAGCTATCCACCATGCAGGCCTGATGAACAAAAATGTAATTACTGACAAGATTAAGCCGTTAATGATCCTCGTAATAAAGTAAACCTACAGAAGTTTCACATGAGTTTAGATTGTGAACTGTGTCTACAAGAAATCTCAAAGGTCTAACCAGATAGTCTAAGGAGCTTGGAAAGAAAAGCGTCTGGACTTGTTTAAGTTGCTTGAAGACGTTTCACTTCTCATCCGAGAAGCTTCTTCAGTTCTAAGAGTCAAATGGTGGAGAGTCCCAGATTCTCTCCACCACGATGACTGAGAACCTTCACAGACGTCTAACCAAACACTCACTCTTGTGGCCCGGGAGTCATTTTTGACCAGAAGGAGTTCTTTAACATCGATTAAACCCATCTAGGACTACCTTTATTTATCAGAACAATATAGCTAAAATTAGAAATATCCTTTTCATGCTGAAAACTAGTGCTGCTGCATTTGCATCTTTTGTGAAGGATTATCAGTGTGCGATCTATGCAGATGTCCTAAAGTGGGTTGGAACAGGAGATTGAGTTCACCACAAGGCCCAAAAACATGTTAAACATTAAAAAACAACAGGAGAAAAAACAGAAAATGCAGTGGACGCTTCCTATTGTTTTAAATACTCTGTATGAGTCTCTGTTATAACGTTGCTTTTCTGGCTTCTGGTTAACTTGATATCAGGCCCCTCTTTGTGCAACAAGCTCCCAGTTAGGGTATAGTTAGGCTGGAAGAGGTGACCCTGAGCTATCCCGTAGTTAATGCTGCTGCAGGCTCAGATTGCTGGGAGACTTCCCATGATGCACCGACCAATCTCAACTCTGCTCTTCTCATTCACAATGCATCTATACACTGCTACTGCATAGCATTAAATTCTGTCTGCTCACTCCTGTAGTTTGCTTTGTATTGATCTCTCTCTGCTCTCCCTTTGTCTCTCTTCTCTTTCCCATCACTTCTCTGAGCCTGGTTCTGCTGGGGATCTCTTCCTGTTAAAAAGGTGTTCTTTCTTCCCACTGCCGCCGTGTGTTTGCTCATAGGTAATCTTCTGATCATTTGGGTTTCCTCTTGTACTATTGCAGGGTCTTTACCTTACCATATAACATGTCTTGTTATATGGTAAGGTTATTGCGTTGCTCTATAAATAAAATGTAGGTGAATCTTAAAATAAATAGAGGTTGACAACAAAATAACAAATGCTGAGCAACCTATTTACAAAATGAAAGTGTTTATGACTTCTCTTAATCACACACCTTTTCAGGAGACACTTTCTTTCAGTTTCATTCACTATCTGTGACTTTTAAATGACCTGTGGGAGCTCTGACTGTGGCTATTGCTCGAAAGACAGACCTTAAAATTGAAATAAACTTTTGAAAGTTTGCTCCTCAAACTTTACAGCTCTATTTCCATCAGCATTAAAACCTGCAGTGGCGTCATCGACTGGGGTTCAGCCAAGAGAGCGGCTCAGTAGATGTAGGACATTCGTGTGCATCCTTCCTTTGTGACCTTTTTAAAAGCCTCTTCAGATATAAAAAGGAAAAACAGCTCACCTGTATAGATCTGCCAAGTTTGATTAATACAGGCTTGTAGGTCTCCATGGTGACAGAGTCAGGGCCAATGACATCACTGTAACACTGGTAAACAACAGCGGCGATGCGGTGGACCTGGCAGTGGTTCAGTACTGATGAAACAGCACAAAGAAAAAGAAGACACCAAGGTTATTGATATGAGGTGTGCGTGACCGTCCAGTGATCTCCTGATGATACATCTGTTTGTTTGGAACCTGAGTCTTTAAGAGCAATCGCACCAAAAATCAGGATGCAGGACTTTGTGTTCTCAGTGAGTGGAGAGGAGCCTAATGGCACCACATTTCATTCAGTTGGCAGAAACTGTTGTCCAAAGCGACTTCTCAAACACACACAGACACACATCAGGAGCAAACTGGGGTTCAGTATCTTACTCAAGGACACTTCAACAAGAAAAGCTGGGAAACAAACACAGCTAAAGCTTTATTTACAGAACTTTTACAGCCTATTTCACTTTGTCCCATTACTGAAGAGAAAGACTGGTGCTGTGCAGCAGAACTAGGTGTTAAATATGTGTCTTTATAAAGCACCTTCTTAAAGCCACTTTAAACGGAATTCAAGACCAAATTGGAAACGACATACACAGAAAGTGAAAATATTTTCAAGTTAAAACACTGATCTCAGTTCACAATGAACAGTAAGATATTTTCAGCACCTCGCTTATTTCCCAAGGGGTCACCACAGTGGAAAGAGGCAGCTTGCCTGATGCAATAATCCCATTAATCTGGTCTTTGACCAGCACTTTGAGTGCATTAACTTGTGACCTCTTTAGGCTGGACTTGTGTCTCCATCCAGGGAGTTTTGGCATGTATGTGTTAACCACTACACCACAGAGCCCAGATACAAAAGATGGACATAGCTACTGTGACGTCAAACTGAGCTTTGGTGTCTTGAAACCTTTTGCAATGGGCAAGGTGTGGATGTGATTGAAACCGCATGCTCACAACCCAGTGACACGTCAATAACAAGACATTAGCATGAGCATACGCCAGATAAACCATTCTGAAATTTAAACAGACAAAATTCACAAAATGGGCTTCATGTTTTAGTCAGCATGACTCAAATCACATGACCAAGCCCTTAAACTCATAAGCAAACAGAGGTTGGGGCCGAACGCTGCTTTTACTCAGACTTCTACAGTACTGGGGTGTTTGTGCAAGCACCGGTGTCGCCCTCTGGTGGTCATGAAAAACGTTTGAGGCAATTCCTTTGCTAAGGCCTAATTTATACCAGAAACATGACTTGTTGTATGTCTGTGAGAAAATTACTTCTTCCGGTTTCTTCTTTTCACAGTAATTGTCTTGGTCATCTACACTGTTTCAGATAAATGTCTTATAGAAGTAGGATAAAACTCCTGAGTTAACACATAAGACTCTATAGAAATTCTGTAGAGGGTTTTTTCATTAATTTATAAAGAATGGGAATACGGTCTGCAGAACTAGAGCCTGACCAGTAAATCACCTGGCTTATATTTCTGGCTGATTTTGGCCTATCAGAGATTTATTCATGTATATGTTGTTCAGTAGGAGAATCTGGTGCTTGGCAGGTGTTGATTTCAAACATGGAAAGGAAACAAGAGGTGCACATGACACCAAAATAACTTAGGAAAGGTTGCCTAGAAGGCAGGAAATCTGGGTTAAAGGAAAATGCCTCCCTAACCCATCTGTAAGAATAAAGCTGCCATTCAATCA